CTACTACTACTACTACGTTTACTACTACTACAATTAATAATAGATACCACGACTACTACGACTACTACCTCTGCTACTACTACTACTACTACTACTACTACTACTACTACTGCCACTACTACTACGACTACTACTACTACTACTACTACTACTACTACTACTACTACTACTACTACTAACTCTACTACTACTACTCTACTACTACTACTACTACTACTACTACTACGACTACTACTACTACTACTACTACTACTACTACTACTACTACTACTACTACTACTGCTACTGCTACTACTACTACTACTACTACTACTACTACTACTACTACTACTACTACTACTACTACTACTACTACTACTACTACTACTACGTACTACTACTACTACTACTGGTGTGGGGGAACCGTATGCGGGCACCCCCACTGGGGACTACGATGGATCTCCCTATCTGGCTACGAAACGCTGCCCTGGGTGGGGGAACCGCATGCGGGCACCCCCACTGGGGCCTACGGTGGAGCTCCCTATAGGGCCACGAAACGCTGCCCTGGGTGGGGGAACCGCATGCGGGCACCCCCACTCGGGCCTTCGGTGGAGCTCCCTACGGGGCCACGAGACGCTGCCCTGGGTGGGGGAACCGCACGCGGGCACCCCATTGGGGCCTACGGTGGAGCTCCCTATGGGGCCACGAGACGCCGCCCTGGGTGGGGGAACCGCACGCGGGCACCCCCACAGGGGCCCACGGTGGAGCTCCCTATGGGGCCACGAAACGCTGCCCTGGGTGGGGGAAAGCAAAGGCAAGGAGGGGGAGGAGGGAGGAGGGGGAGAAGGAGGAAGGAGGAAGGAGGAAGGTGGGACGCGGGGCGCTGTCTCTTCAAAACGAGGACCCCACACCACAGGATGGTTGGGAAAAATTGGGTTCCGCGGCTTCAACCTTGTTGAAACGCACACACGCCGTCCTTTTCCTCCTCCTCCTCCTCCTCCTCCTCCTCCTTTTCCTCTTCCTCCTCCTCCTCCTCCTCTTCCTCTTTGGCCACGTCATCCTCCTTCTCTACACTCCCCGGAAAGGTCGCTCTTGTATATTATCGATCTGACACGGGGGGGGGGGGGCAGAGGATGATGAGGAGGGAGGTTTAGAGAGGAGGAGCAAAGAGGAGAGATGACTGAGAAAAGAGGGAGGCGGGGGAGGAGGAGCAGGAGGAGAAGAAGAAGGAGAAGGAGAGAAGAGGGACGAGGGAGGGAGGGAGGAATGGAAAGAGGGAGGGAGGGAGGGAGGGAGCGAAGGAGGAGGAGGGCGAGGAGGAGGAGGAAGAGAAGGAGGATGAGAGACAGGAGGAAGAGGAGGAGGGAGGAGGAAGGATGAGCGCGCCATAGAGCGGGGCGCGGTCGAACCGCGGCCCGCCCCGAGCGGGGGGCCTGCCTCCACCTGAGGAGCCAGGACCACCCGACCGCGAGCACGACGCAGTCCACGGCATCCGGAACGGGGGCCCTGACGGGGCAGGACCCCCGGCCACGACGCCGACCGCGACCGTGAAGAAGCCAACCTCCGAAGCGGACATACCCTTGCCGTTCAGAGAGGCGGCCGCCTCGCCGCGGACGCTGCGAGGGCCCGCAGGTTCGCCCCGAGCGCCTGCAGGTCCGCCTCGAAGATGCCTTCGCGCTCGGCCGCGACCGCGGCGCCGCCCGCCCCCACAGCAGGCATGGCACCCGCCGCCGCCGCGCCCGCTCGGCATCGACCGCGTCGGTGTCGGTCCTGCGGAGCTGCCGCCGCCGAGCGGGCGGGGCCAGGCCAGCGCCGCGGCCCGCCACCAGTCCGTCCGCCCACGCGTCGTCCAAAATCGTCCTGCATCCCGGCCACGTCAGCAAGCGGGCGCGGCAGCGACCTCCAGGAGACGGAACCCCGCGGGGGCAGGCGACGGGCGGCGCCGCCGCCGCGACCTGCGACCACCCCCCACGGCGCCGTCCATGTCGGCGTCACCACTCGTCACGCCGCCGCCGGCACGCTCTGCATCCGCAGCAGCCACGCCGCCGCAGCAGCACCGCCGCCACGACCAACGAATACAGCGTCAGGAGCAGGCGCGGGCGGCGGCTTGGCGGGAGCCCGAAAGCTCGCCACCGCCGCGCGCGGCAGGCCCTCCGCGGCCCGCAGCAAGCGCACTCCCGAGCGGGAGCGGCCTGCCGCGAGTCCCGCCGCGGCGCGCGAAGGAGCGCCCCACGGGCATCTTCCTCGGCGGCGCGATGCTGCAAGAGAGGAAGAGGAGGAGGAGCAGGAGGAGGAGCAGGAGAAGGAGGAGGAGGAGGACGACGAGGAGGAGGCGGAGGACGAGGAGGAAAAAGAGGCGAAAGAGAAGGAAAATGAGAAAGACAAGAAAGGAGAAGAAAACAACAAGGAAACAAAAGCTTATAGTAGTAGTAGTAGTAGTAGTAGTAGTAGTAGTAGTAGTAGTAGTAGTAGTAGTAGTAGTAGTAGTAATAGTAGCAGTAGTAGTAGTAGTAGTAGTAGTAGTGTAGTAGTAGTAGTGTAGTAGTAGTAGTAGTAGTAGTAGTAGTAGTAGTAGTAGTAGTAGTAGTAGTAGTAGTATAAGTAGTAGTAGTAGTAGTAGTAGTAGTAGTAGTAGTAGTAGTAGTAGTAGAAGTCGTAGTAGTAGTAGTAGTAGTAGTAGTAGTAG